GTTGGTAAAAGAGTAGCCCAAGACTTGGCAGTGGGTGGTGATGACTAGCTGCCTTCCCTCTAGTCTAACACTGCTAAATTAGGAATGGCTAGCACAGATAGCCCTCGTGTAGCTTTGCACAAACTTCAAAACAAACTTATTGTGTTAATGTAGAAGGATTCTTAAATTTTTCTTGCCTACAAAAATGTGTCGATGATTCTAGTTTTTCCTAGTATATTTTTTATCCAGTTGACATGGTGTGTTCTGCATTGCCTGAATTTTGTGTTTTCAGGAGTCTTGTACTGTCTTTATGTTCTTTTATTTTTGTCATAAGTCTTCTTCCCATTTCTACAATGTAGGTTTCGTTGCTGGAACACGGAATTTCATAAATGACGTTTTTTTGTTTCTCATTGGTGGGTTTCTGTTTGTTTTTCACCAGAATGGATCTTAATGTCTTGTAGGATTTCCACTGGACGTCTATGTCGAATTTCTTGGCTATGTGTTTGAGTTTTTCGCTGAAGTTTTGCAGGTAGAGGAGGTAAATGGTAGTAGTGGTAGTGTTTTCCTTGTCTCTTCTTTCTGTTGTGGCCTTCTTCAAGGAGGTTTTGACGAAAGGAGGTGTAACTGCTCTGTTTAAAGCCTTCTACCATCTCTTGGCATTCAGTTTCGATGGATATCTTATCACAAATTTTTCTGCTCTCTTGTTTAGGCATCAGATTATACAACGTTTTATTGAGGTTGGATGATACGACTGGAAGTGTAGGTATCTGTTCATGTAACTGGGTTTTCTGTATACAGTAGTGGTGATTTTTCCTCTCTTGTCTGCTGATGAGTATGTCAAGAAATGGTAGGCTGTTTTGTTCTTCTATTTCCATCGTGAAGTGGATTCTTTTGTCTATAGAATTTAGATGTTCTGGGAAGGCTGGTAAGTGTTCATGACCGTGGAGCCAGATAACGAAGGTGTGGTCAACATAACGTCTGCAGAAAGTTGGTTTTATAGGTGTGGATGAAAAAGCTCTTTCTACAAAATTTTCCATCATAATGTCTGCTAGGATTGGAGAGAGTGGTGTTCCAATGCTAGACCGTCTGTTTGTTCGTAGAATTCCTCGTTGTATTGGAAATAAGTTAATTGTAGGCAAATAGTCGTTAGTTCTATGATGGCATCTATCTTTATGTCAGAGAGTTGTCTGGTGATAAGGGTTTCTGAGGTTGGAACATTGGTAAATAGGTATGTGATATCAAAACTGGCCAGAATATCATGAAATTTGATGCGTAGCTTTTTGAGTTGTTCTATGAAATCTGTCGAGTTGTGAATGGGATGTTCGGTATTCCCTCGTAGTGGAGATGGGATAGGTACTAGGAAGGTAGCCAGTTGATGGCAAGTTGAGTTTTTAGCACTGACGATAGGCCTTAAAGGTATATTAGGTTTTTGTACCTTAGGTAGTCTGTAGAATTGAGGGTGGGGGGGGGGATTGTCGTTGGTCCTTAAGTCCTTTGTTAGCTTCTCGTTGATTAGGTTTTGTTTCTTAAGTTTGTTCAGTGTTCTGTTGACGAGTCTGTCTTTTCTGTAGGACCATTGGTTATCTTTTTGTATTGGTGTTTGTCTAGTAACTGCTTGATCTTAGTGTCATAATGTTTGACGTCTCGGATGACTACACTGTTTCCTTTGTCTGTTGGTAGAATCTTGATAGTGTCGTCCCGTCTTAGACGGTTCAGTGTGCTGCATTCCTGTTTAGTGATGTTAGGTTTTGGTTTCTTGACATTCATGAGGATGGTGTAAGTTTGATGTCTGAATTGTTCAGCCATAGGTACAGGAGGTTTTGTGCAGCAGATTCTAAGGTTGCAGCATTGTCAATAGTTGGAACTGTGCTAGGTTGCCGTCCATTCATTCAACCAAATTTCAACATAAGTAATACTAAAAGTAAAACTTTTCAAGAGTAATGTAGCACCAGTAGAAAATAACAGTCTCTGGTCACCGTACATGGTACCCACACAGTTACAGGTTTGGTAAAAAGACCAACACGCGAATTGGAACAAAACAGAAAAGCAATCTGCGGGCAACTACTTATACCTTCATCATATTTTCGATGCTTGTGGTGGCTTTCATTCACGAGAACTCCGCGCGCATGCGATAACCTTAAAGTTAGGTACAAGAGTGGCGCGTATTTTAAACAATCTTTTTCCCTTTTCTACACAGACAATATAAGAATGTTAATGCAGATGACTACATGGACATTGCCCTGAATGGGGTCGGAGCAAGTACAGTTTACTCCGACCCTCATGTTGTATCAACATAAACATTCACCTGCTCCTAAACCACAATGTTGACAGGAGGAAGAGGTCTTATTGAACCTGACTCTCCTTGGTCTATCAAGACCAAAATCCCGATAATGAAGTAGACACAGAAAATCAATAAGCGAGTTACCTTAGCAGTCTGACTGGCAACAAACAAGGAGCTTCACCAGAAAGCATATTCAAAATGTACAGAACATACATAAGACCAGTCGTAGAATACGTCTGTATAACGTGGATAAATGTATCAAAAACACACGTCAACAAACTACAGCAAATACAAAACTATATTTTAACGAAAGAATATAGAATCCCACGATCAACAAACTCAGTATTTTTACACAACTATTCAAACATGCCAACACTATCAGACAGACTCCTGGATAACTCGCTTCAATATATTACTAAAAATTAACTGATGAGCAAACTAGAGAGTTTCATAACACACGATGAACCAAGCCCTAAGTACCTCTCCCGTCTAAACATCATAAATAAGAAACTTATTGGCCAAACAGTGCTAGGCTAACTGAATCCTAGACACAAACGTAGTTCTATTTTAAAAGGGTTTTGTATGTGAAAATTGGATTATCTGTATGTGTATATGACTGCTAAGTGGAATTGTATTGTAAACACGGACTAATAGTGCGATCATACATAAGTGAAAATATACGAGTTAACATTGGACATGGCACGAAAAGGGTATGTTAATTAAAACTGCGGAGTAATGCAACAACGTAACAAGGGTTATTACCTAGGATTCAGTAACAGTGCATACAAAATAATTCCTGATAGGGAGGAAGAGGTTAACGCTGAATCTGACCTTCCCTGGTCCAAATTATGGACCGAATCCGATGAAGAAGAAAGAAAGAACCAAGATAAATCAGCTTACCGAAGTCTTTTTTTTTTTTTCGGAACTGAGGGATAACAGATTCAAAACCGGAACGATTCGGGTTACCATAACATTTAACATCATGATTTATATTGCTTCATCAAGTTCCTCAATGAAATCAGGATTTTTTTTATCAACTAATGTGATATTTGACTTAAGGCAAAGTAACAACAAGTTTGTAATTTTCATTAGTCAACTAACTTGTTCATTTGAGTGTCCCCCCCCCCCTCAATGGCTTATCGGCAAGTATGCTAAAAACCGGTTTTCGATACCCGTGGTGGGC